CCAGCTGTAGGAGCCAAGACTCAGTTACCAACTGAAAGACGATGTCCTTAGCCACCACCAGCAATGTCCAAACAGCCCCCTGCTACGATTACCACCATCATTTGGAGGCAAAAAAAAAAAAAAAATGCCCCATTTTCCATGGTCTGCCTGAGAGATTTTAGGAAAGCCTCAAGCCTAGAGAGTTATACCTCAACCCTACATCTACTGAAAGCTAATGTTGGGGGAGCTCAGCCCAGCTTCCTGTCTCCTATGGCAAGAGCTGAACACCCCACCAATGCTCTGGGATTATGATTCAAAGAAAGGTATGCAAATATTATTAAATAAAAGCAAACAATATACAAACACTACACAACACCTCATTAAAATCCGGTTTCATCAGGTTTAAATTACTATTACAAGGTCCCTTTGAATAATCTTGACTCAGTCAACTCACACTCCAGGAGCCATTATTACACCAGTGCTTGTAATTAACTTGTTTCTAGAGCAAAACACATGCGTATGCAGCCTTCCTATCCATAAACCAAAGAAGAGAAAACAAAAGAAAAAAGCAATTACTACTACCTCTTTCTTGGCCCAGTAAAGTAAGTGGGTCTCTCTGTAATACATGGCAGTAAGGGTGTTCTAATTTTGCTCAAATCGTATGTAAATGTTTGGAACAGGCTTAGGCTGAATTTAATTCCTATCTCTAACTCACAAAAGCCATTTGGGACACTCATAAATAAGCAAATTTTTTTTTATTTCCGAATAGACCTTGTTGTATTGTCAGACACCCTTTGTATATGGACAAGTCCTCAATTAAAGACTTTTTTCATGTGTCTTGTATGGACTTTGTTAGAACACCTTAAATATCTTGTATTCAGCTTTTTCCAATAAACTACAAAAACTTGGCAGTAAGTTATTTTTCTGCCCAACTAACTGAGGTTTAATCACTTAAATGGCAACACTATGACAAGAAATACTAAAAAATAAAAATAAAACAAAGTAGAGTTTTCAGACTCTAGGTTAAAACAAAACAGAATCTGTTAAAGGTCAGTCCTCACCCCCTGTACTTCCAGCAAGTCCAGCATGCTAAGGTAGCCCAGACTTCCACCCCCAGGAAGAAACTGAAATAAAGTCAACCAGTCACAGCCTGCCCAGAATGGGAACTTGATTAAGCAGCACTCATCTAAATCTTGATAGACTTTTCGTATTACTGCACCAATGAGACTTGACTTAAAATTAATTTACACAGTGGACCCTGAGAACTATTCCACCCTTTCTTTGTGTATGCAACACCTACTGATTCCAAGGCAATCCCAAAACATGTTTCTTGGGCTTATCAGGTCTGTGTCTTCTCAGTTGCTATCCTAAAGTTTCAAGGAAGCACCTTGTCTTCTAGCACTTGTCTTTTCTAGCTTGACCAAGCTTCAGTTATTGAATTAACAACTAGCTGGAGATCATATCTCCACAGATAAAGATTTGTAGAATCCCTTATCTCTCTCTGCAGGCTTTTGTGAGAGAAGTCAAAAAGGGAGACTGAGAATTAAAAATGCTGATTTGTCATATCTGAGGAAAGTAAAAACTGTTCTTGGGTCAAGCTCTAAGTCATGAATAAGTAACTGACACTGGGGGTATATGTAATTTCTGGTCTGTGCACAAAATCAGAAAATCAGTGAGTCAAAAACAGCCATGTCCAAATAAAATGCTTTTGAAATTAGCAATTTAGTGACAGCTTCAGAAAGCAAAAGATTCTGAGAGTCTTTCAGAATCTGCTCTCCTCATACTAACTTTATCAGTCTCTCTAGTCTCCTGCTAATCCTGCTACTTGGAGAATCCCAGATTTTTGCCACCCTCTTGAATTCTGTGCTTGAGTCAAGCACTTCCCATGTCTGTCCCTAGTCCCAGCCTAGTGGACTTTATCCTTAAAATCCTTCTATTTCAAAAGAAGTGCACACAAACACACTCACCCATGTAGTCACATGCCTTCATGCATATGAAATCACGTCTCCACCTCTAAGAACTGAATTCCTATGTCCAGTGATTTTAGTATTGACATCAAAGCAATTGAACATAATTTAAGATATAAAAATATTAATCCCAATTACATTTTTTTCTGGATCTCCGTTGGTGTCAGAGGATGAAATCTTCTCAGGAATTGTCATCTGCAGAAATGTTTTATTTGGCTCTAAAATAAAAATAAGTTATTTCGATACCTGTTATCTTATGTTATTCATTTCTAAATTCAATTCTGCTTTCTTACCCAATAATACTAGTTATTTTTTGTATAACTAAGGCATCTAGTCTTCATTTCCACTCATTCTGGTCAGTCTAACCTACAAATTTCTTAACACTTATCTAGACCCCAGATTTCCATTTTCCATCACCTCCCCTTCCCTCCTCTCCCTCCCTTCCTTTTATTATACACATAGTAACTCTAATTAGTCGATTTTGACAGAGTAACACTGAGTAACAATTTTTAGTGATTAAATGTTGTGTAAGAAGTGTAGAAATGAAAAAGCAGTGGTGCATCTAGAACGCGGGATCATTTTCTCGGAAATGTAAGGGGGAGATTCAGTTTTCAATGGAGAAATAGGACAGCAGTCACCAAAATCGGGAAGTCATTGGGAAATAGTTTCTTCATGGAGATGCAATTATTTCTAGAAAAGAAGATTTTTTTTGTATGAAAAAGATTATGTATTTCATTCTGCTCCGTTTCACAGAAAAATGAAACAAAATTTTCTGCCCAAAGGCTATGCCTCCGCCAACTGGCCACGATCTTGCGATCAGGAGCAAGAAAAAAGTGGAGAGAGCTAGGGAGTCAGGGTGATCTCTGGATCTGAACACCGAACCAGAGCCCCCTAAGTGAACAAAACCTCCGCGGAGGCCTGATTTGGGGGGAAGGCGCAGATCGCGACTCACTGGTGCCCGCCTGCAGCCTGCCGAGTCCGGTGAGGAGGACCAGAAGAAGGAACATGACTCCGTTGTCTTGGGAGCCCAGCTGGCCAGACGGCAGCAGTTGGAGCTGTTAAGGCACCGCCCCAGGAGGCTCGCGCAAGCACTGAGAGCTGGAGAGGAAGAGGGAGGGGGAGGGCGAAGGGACAGCTGGGGAGAAGCGCTCTCAGTCAAGAAAAGACTGGGCAGGGGCTCCCGGTCGGGGTTCCGGGAGGGTCGGGTGGGGAGGAAACCAGCAGGTGTGGGTACCTAGCGGCTCGCCTGCACAGGAGCGCTGAAAGGTGCCCACAGCGGCACACATAGACTTTACTAAAGAGTAAAGACTGCTTGACATTCAGTTCTCAGATTAGGGTCGTGCCTGCTGAGACTTTTGTTTCTACCTTTTACTTAGGGCAAAGATATTTGACGTAATTTCTAGTTTCAGTTCGAAGGCACAAAAATGCTGTAGTTGATTTGGTGATGGGAAACCCGCGGGGATTACAACCGAGATGGGAAAAAAAATGTGCAAAATGATGTAAAAATAAACCTTTGTAATAATTTAAAAAAAAAAGCTGTAGTTACTGATGCCAGTTTCCTACTACTACATTTACAGACTATCCAAACAGGCAAAACATGCATACATTTGCAAAAACTGTTGCAAACGCCACGGCATTTCAAAGTCTAATGGTTGGATTTCCCTGGAGTGGGGAGGTGCTGAATGCAGAAAAGCCCACAGAATCCCTGTGCTGAATGCAGAAAAGCCCACAGAATCCCTGTGCTGAATGCAGAAAAGCCCACAGAATCCCTGGCCAAATACACACTCTACACTCTGGGTCATCCTGCTGAACGTGATTGTGCTAAGTAAAATAAGCCAGTGGAGAAAGATACATACCAAATGTTGTCAATTATATCTGGAATATAGAGAAGCCACCAAAGGGCCAAATAAAAACATTAAAACCAACCCCTGAATGTTGACCACAGACCTGAGGCACCCAAAGTGGGAGAGGCGGATAAGAAGAGGGAGGAGAGGTGTGTTGGGGAGGGAAGAGCACAACAGATTATGATGAAAGATGATGGGTGATGGGTGGCGTAAGAGCTACAGTGACTACACTGAAGGGGGAAATCATATACTATCAAAATACCAGCAAGGATGTAAAATAATGACACTTCATTAAAAAGATACATAAAAATAATTTTTAAAAGAAAGATAAAACAACTAGCAAACCAAAGACAGACCATAATCAAGCCCCATAAATCAATAATCACCTTGAAGGTGAATGGTCTGAACTCATCAATTAAATGATACAGGGTGGCAGGCTGGATTAAAAGCATGACCCCGGCCCTCCCTGATGGCGCAGCGGGTTAAAGCACAGCACTAACAAGCTTAAGCCACTTCCACATGAGTTCGATTCCTGCCTGCCCCAGAGATGACCACATGACGCGGCAGACCTTTCCTAACCCGCCCGCTACTCCCCTCAGCAGTGTACTGCGTCAATCTGCCTGTTCTGCTCCCCACTCTGTCCCTGGTGAATCCTCTCACCCTCCACATCTCTGGCCTATACCACAGTTCCATATAAATAAATAAATAAATCTTAAAAAAAAAAAGCATGATCCCTCTATATTTTACATGCTTTTGCTTCACCCCTGACCTATAAGGATATGTAGACTAAAAGTAAGAGGTTAGAGCAAGGTATGTCAAACATATAAAAAAAGAAAAAAGCAGGAAATACTAATTTCTTTTTTATCTGATAAAGTAGACTGTCAATCAAAAGCATGATCATTAATATGGCACTATGTATTAACCAAGGGGATGATCCATCAGGAAGATATTACAGCTATCAATAGTTATGCACTTAGCATTGATACATCTAAATATGTAAAATAAATATTAACAGTTCTAATAAAAGGTATTGCCAGCAACACAGTAATAGTTGGGGATGTCTACACATCACTTATATCAATGAATAGATCATTGTAGTTTATTTAGGAAAGATTACACCACATAAATAATCCAGGAAATAATGTCCATAAGCAATAATCCAAATGGACTTCTACATATACAGAATTTTCATTCCCAAAAGAAATGATCACACATTCTTCTCAAGTGCACATAGAACATTTTCAAAGAAACATAGCTCCCTCAGAAGCACAGATAGGGGTTTTGGAAAGAGTGACATAAACAAATACCTGGATCTACTGAGATCTGTATGAAGTCAACCAAGTTAGGTAAGAGGATTTGCTAGAGGAACATGGCCCACCAAGCCCAAATCCTTCCTGAGTACTTAGCACCTGAAGCAGCAACCCTAAGTGTATGTTAGGAGAGCTATACAGAAGAATTCAGGAGCCATGTAGGGATGCTTATCTACAGGAATGGGGTTTTGGGGGTGAAAAAACAAATGCAAGCTTGCAAATCAGTCCACATTTGGTTTATTGTTTTCTTGAGTTATGACCAGGGGAACAAAGGTGGTATTTTCACTTCTCCATGAAACTCTTGTACTATTCTTTGGCTTCTGAAGGAATTACTAGTTACTGTGAAAAGAACAAAAGACAGGCTCACGATACTGATAACAAAAATAAATACATATTTAATTACATTGCAAAACATTCCAACAGCTGGTCAAATTAAAATATGGAAGAACAACATTCTAGAAAGAATTTTTACAATTTTACTACTGAAATTATTTGATTATGAATAACATTTTCACACTACAATTTCCTATGATTTCTGGAGAACCATCATATTTAATCAAAAGTATTTACAAATGAGAAAATCTAACATTTTTCCAAATATAATAAAATATTGATGAATATTAAAAGTAAATGTGTGCATGTTTTAAAATTTTAAATACAGGTTAATTTTACTTATCCTGTGTCTAATTACTAATAGCTAATTACTTTGGTTTTTCATATTGCAAACAGGGTTTTTACATTTGAAAACTAATAAGACATAAGCATTATGCCTATAACAGACAATGGATAAAGTGGCCCCACTATAAGAATTCATTTTATAGACTAAAAGACATGCATTTTATCTTATTAGATTGAAGGCTTTAATTCTATTTTATCCATAACAGTGAGTGAAAGAATAAAACTTAGAGATCGTTATTAACTGAAAACAAAAATAAATATTTTAAATATTCATCAATAACAATATTAGTAAAGATTAATTCATTGCTTTTTATTGTACTAGACTATCAATTCATTTACTCAATAAATACATAACTGTAGATTACACATTTCAATTTTAAATATATGTATTATTATAAGAGCCCAACTATATGTGGAATCTAAAAAAGAAAACCTGATTCATACACATAGAGCAAACAGATTGGTGATCAAACAAGCATATATTAAGAAACACCTCCCAATGTACTCACCTGCTTTCAGGTGTCTGAGTGCTGTACTGTGATTTAGATCTAAATAAATAAGGTAATAAAAGTTTTACTCTGATACGATATATACAACAATCTAACACTTGTTTAAGGCAATTCCCCACTCTTACACTTCAAAACTGAAGTCAAAAAAAATTTGCCAAATTTTGATTTTACACAACTTATTCATAAGAGTAGTAATCAAATCTTGGGCTTCTTTTCCATTTTTATATATACAGATTTTTATTTTGAATTCTCCATCAAAATAATCAGAAAAATAATAAATTGAAGACCATTTAAGAACGGTTGACAAAAAAAAAAATAATAAGGCTAGTGGGAAACTTCAGTAAGAAAAGTGGTATAAATTTACCCTTCCTGTTTATCAGTTTATTTCAAAACTCTGCTATTTAATAGATTCTCAAAACTTATAGTATATTTTTTCCCCAGTACTTTCACCAGAAAACACATGTATTTAATATAGGTAGATTTCACCCAAACCAGTAGATAAATGTACAGGTAGGCTTGTAGAGAAATTTTTGTGGAGGAAAAAAGAAGTGTTGGTGGGAATGTGGACAGGTCTAGCCCCTGTGTAAAAACAGTATGAAGTATTCTTAAAAATATAAATTGATCTATCATGTGATCCAGGTATTTCACTACTAGGTATCTCCCTAAAAAAATGCAAACAAATGAGGTTGAAGGAATCTGTCTACCTCTGAGTTCACTGCAGCACAATTTAAAACAGCCAAATTATGGGAACAACCAAGTGCTTGACAACCAGTGAGTGAAGTGCATGTTATAGGATGCAGTACAATCTGACTATAGAAAAAAGATGAAATTCTGCCACTTACAACAACGTGGCTAGAACTGGAAGGGATCAAATTAAGGGAAATAATTCAAGACCAGAAAGACAAGTACTGAAAAATTGCTCTCATTTGTAGAATATAAAACACAAAATAAAGAAACAGACAGAAGTAAATAAAAACAAACCCTAGAAATGTGACTACAGATTTGAGGCTAACAGATGATAAGGCTGGAGTTGGGGAATAAAGGAAGTGGCCCATGAATACAGTGAAGATTATGGATGCTTTATGTAAAACTGGTTGCTACAGCACATCTAAAGAGGTATAACCCCATGCCCCCAAATCATATACATAGTTGTAAACCAACACTATCTCAATTAAAAAAATAATTGAATCATACTAATAGTCAAGTTAAGTAGTATAAGAAAAACTTTTAAAAGTATTATTTTCCTTTGTATATTACATCATAAAGGATGTATAAAAGTTTGCTTATTAATTTGTTTCACAAAAAAAAATTACATATCTTGTCTTACTAGATGTAACAATTTTCCCCCTATAGATCAGAAGAATGATCAAGCAATGAAAATTTAGTCAACTAAATAAAGAAAAATTAACTGAAAATTAATACTCATTCCTAGAATGGGAAATTAATAAGTGGATTTTGGTCAGACATTATTAATTTTGTCTGCTCAAAAACAAAGCAATTATTAGCACTTTTTTAGTTTCAACATAAAATAATTTTAAGACACCCCTCTTAAATGTAAGCATTATACTCCCAGACTTCAAACAATACTACAGAGCCATTATATTAAAAATAGCATAGTACTAGACCAAAAACAAACACACAGACCAACAGAATTGAATTGAAAACCCAGAAATAAAACTACATATGTATGATCACCTAATCTACAACAAAGGAGTAATGAATACACACTGGAACAAGAAAAGCTCTTGAATAATGGTGTTAGAAAAGCTGGACAACATGCCAAAAAAAAAAAAAAAATGAAACTAGGCTACTATCTTACACCATACAAAAAAATCAATGCAAAATGAATAAAAAACTTGAAGACCTGGCCCTCCCTGGTGGCGCAGCGGGTTAAAGCACAGCACTGAGAAGCTTAAACCACTTCCACATGAGTTCGATTCCCGCCTGCCCCGGAGGAGTCCACATGGCGTGGCAGACCTCTCCTGACCCGCCCGCTGCTCCCTTCAGCAGTGTACTTCGTTGATCTGCCTATTCTGCTCCCTGCTCTGTCTCTGGTGAATCCTCTCACCCTCCGCGTCTCTGGCCTGTACCCCAGTTCTGTATGAATAAATAAATTAAATCTTAAAAAAAAAAAAAAAAAACTTGAAGACCTGACACCATAAAATATATAGATGAAAACATAGGCAAAATATTTCATGATAAACCTCAGAAACATCTTTGAGGATTCTTCTCCAGAAGTGAGGAAAACAAAGGAGAAAATAAGCAGCTGGTACTACATCGAACTAAAAAGCTTCTGTACAGAAAAATAGATATAATCAAAACAAAGAGACACCCTCCTGAATGGGAAAAAATATTTGCACACCGTATGACAAATAAGGAACTGATATCAAAGATGCATGAAGAGCTTACACATCTCAACAAAAACAAAGCAAACCAACCAGTCAAAAAAAATGGGCAAAAGAAATAAACAATTCCCCAAAGAAGAAAAGCAAATGCCCAACAGGCATATGAAAAATATCCAACATCACTAGTTATCAGGGAAATGCAAATTAAAGCCACAATGAGATACCACTTAGGTCCAGTAACAATGGCCCACATCAAAAAAATAAAGGAAGGGAGGAAAGAAGGGGATAGGCAGAGAGGGAGGGAGAGAGGGAGGGATGAAGAAAATGCTAGAGAGGATGTGGAGATGAAGGAACCCTATTACACTGCTGGCAAGATTGTAAACTGGTCCTGCCACTATGGACAGAACATTAAAAATGGATCTACCATATGATCCAGCAACTCCACTCCTAAGAATCTACCCAAAGGACACAAAAACACTAATTTGGAAAGAAAACTGTACTTCTATGTTTATTATAGCACTATTTACAATAGCCAAGATACAAAAATAAACCAAACCCCAAAAATAGATGAATGGACCAAAAAGTGTGGTATATTTACACAATGGAATATTACTCAGTGATTAAAAAAAGATAAACTCATGTTATTTGAAGTAACATGAATGATGCTGGAAGAGATTATACTCAGTGAAATTAGTCAGAATGAAAAAGATAAATATTGAATGAACTCACTTATATGAGGTATATAGAGAAACCAGACAAAAGATGAAGAAAAATTCAGAACTAGCAAGTCGACCATGGAACTAAGGCATACAGCAAAGGCAAGAGAGGAAAAACAGAGGCAGGAGAACACAGAATATGGTGATGGTGATAAGGTGGCAGGAGAACTATGAGACCATAAAGATGAAAGGAAAACTAATTAATAAAATATTAATTTTAAACATTTTTAAAGTTTAAATTTAAAAATGAAAATATATTTAAAATTTAAAAATAAAGAAGTTCTTAAGTTGCTTACCTGCTGATGTCCATTTGGGTGCTAACTTCTGACCTGGTTCTAAATGAAAATAAAAACAAAATTGTCTAAAAATTAATTCTAAGAAATTTGCCTACTTTAAGACTGGCCATTTTAGAACAAATTAACTCCTTTATATTTGGAGCAAACACATGAGTGACACTCTGATCTACCCAATAACAAGTACAACATATAGTGCAAAATTTAAATTTTCCACTGGGGAAAAGGGACAGAGGAGATATGCTTTATCTCCTATCACTTCTAAGCACAGTGTATAACTTGATTTTGAATGTTTAAATTTGGGCTTCCAGCTCCAAGGTAGCTTTTTATTCGATGTTATAAAAATTGCCACCTTTTGTAAATTAAAGTTGTTACCCCGAGTCAACTATGAACTGACAAGAATTTTCCTTTTTAATCCAGGATAAGGAATACCCTTTTCTGTTCCACAGAACGGTAAAGAAAATAGCACAAAAAATATGAACAACAGTCATACATATTTTTTCCTATGTGAGTAAAAAAGTTCAGAAAGACAAGAGAAGCAACATACAAGCAACCAAAGAAACCAGCGACGTGGTTTTAATGATGCTGGCATGAACAGATTTGAGAGTACGGATATTTAGATGTCAGAGAGCTCGGGAAAACTTTATAGTTTAGAATAGGGATAACTATGGTCACTGGGAATGCAACAGGCCATTCAGACCCCATCACTGTACCATGTATAGGGTCAGAACCTCAAGTCTTCAATTCCAGTACCCACAAATTTAAACCAGTAAACAGAAAATATTAAAATGTTCATGCCCCAGAGCACCCCCTTCTTTCTAACACATATTTTCCGTACCTCAGAGCTCCCAGAATTCCCATGAGGAAGAGCTTTATTTCCCTGAGGACAAGTTTGCCAGTCTAAATGACAACTTCTATATAAAATGCCAACAGTCACAACACAGCAAAGTGAAAAATTTATTTCGTTAAGATTGTAGATAATACAAGAACCTTTAATAGATATGTCTTAATAAGTAAAGGCCACCATTCCTGTAGTCCCTATTAATATATGGAAAGATCTTTATTGAAATCAAGGTTGGAATAAAATTAAAAGATACCCATTAAGAAAATAGATGATTTAGAAATCAGCATTAGGAAAATAATGCTAGATCCAGAGATTAAAAAAAAAAAAAAAAGTAAAGTACACGAACTCCCCAGTTGGGAAACAAGGAGTATAAAATGAGGACATTCTCTGAAATAGAGTCAGATTAGGTAGCAAAGAATGGAAATGAGTCAATAACTGAAAAAAAAATGAGTGAATTTTTTTTCCAGAATTAATGACCTGACTGATGATATCTAAAGATGTGACTGAACCCAGAACTAGGTAAATAAAAACAAATTCCATCAAAATATATCATTTCAAAATAACAAAAACATTCAGGTCAAAAAAGAAACCATTTTTTAAAAACATAGATTTATTACTTAATACAAAAATACTTTTAACATGTAAAAATTATCTGAAATAATAGGGCAAAGTTACAGGAAAAAAAGGAAATTGAAATTAAAATGGATTGACGAGTGAATAGTAGGCAAAGCAATTGGTAAGCATATTGTTAAATCCTAGTAAATATAAATTTACTGTTAAAATGATAATAATAACAAAAGTAACTAATGGGGTTACATATCTTAACAAAAGTCAGAAGTTAAATGACAAAATGTAAGTAATTTTTAATTGCTGGAGTTTGCTGTTAAGCAGTGGTAAGGTCCTTCTGTTATGTTGGAAAGTAAGTATTGAATCTAGAAATTTTAAAATTTATTAAACTGATATAAGTATAGCTCATTGGAATTATTCCCATCTCTGAATGTTTTGACATCAACAATCTGTCCCACAGACCTCCCAGTACTTAAGAATTATTCCAAAGATAAAATACCTGAAAACAATAGTGGATCAGTAATGGACAGCACTAGTGTCAAGTGACAGTTTATTAAAATTAAAATAAGTAAACTAAAAGTATTTCCCTTGTACATACCAAGTCAAAAGACTAGACTGCTGGGTGTACTTTATATTACAGTACTGCAGTTAAGGTGTGCATAATCCCATGTTGGTGATACCATTCCTAACTTAATAGAGTTGAATAATGATTTTAAGAAAGGTGAATATGCTAACATGGCTTCATGATGAGAGATGACAATATGAGAGAGGAAGAAAGAGGAACAGATGAAACATTACAGATACATGGATATGCATGTCTGTGTATTTGTGTATCTCTGTGTTTGTGGTATTTTTTGTTTGGCTAACTATGTGTATGTGTGGACAGATATGAAGGTACACCATTAAAAACAGAAAGAAGACATACAGAAATGGAAAGATATTCCCTGTTCATGTATTGAAGAATTAGCATTATTAAAATGGCCATCCTACACAAAGATATATACAGAATAAATGTAATCCCTATCAAAGTTTCAATGAAATTCTTCAAAGAACTAAAACATTAATGATGTTTATATGGAACCACAAAAGAACCCCCCAAAACAGGTGAAGCAATCGTGACAAAAAATAAAAATGGAGGTATCACAATCCCAGATTTCAAACTCTTCTACAAAGCTATAGTAATCAAGAATACAAAACACTCACCCCCCCAAAAAAAAAAGAACTGAGATCAAACCTGCAATTATATGAACAGTTAATCTATGACAAAGAAGTCAACATATACATTGAAGAAACATCTTCCAAAAATAAAGTTGGAAAAACTGGTCAACCACATGAAAAGAATTAAAGTAGAGCACGATATCGCACCATGTACAAAAATTAACTCAAAATGGTTTAAAGACTTGGACAAAAGACCTGAACCCCTAAAATACAAAAAAGATAAATAGGCAAAATATACCACGACATTGGCTCTACTGATGTTTTTAATGACGGACTCCAACAGCAAGGGGGATAGAGGGAAAAATAAGTAATTGGAACTACAGCAAACTAAAAGCTTCTACATAGCAAAAGAAACTGTTACTGAAACAAAAAGACTGAATTGGAGAAAATGTGGCATGTTATACACCTAACAAGTGGCTAACACCCAAGATTTACAACAGAACAAGAATAAATTAATTAGTATATAAATTTTAATTTAAAATGGGCAGAAGAGTTAAACAGAAACCTCTTCAATGAAGACATACAACTGTACCAAGAGGCACATGGAAAAATGTTAATTATCAGTTAGCATTAGAGAAATCAAAACCACAATGAGATACCATCTCGCAACTGCAAAAATGGCCAAATCAAAAAGCCAGAACAACTAATACTGATGAAGATTTGGACAAGAAGGAATGTTTATTGCACTACTGATGGGAATGTAGGCTGTCTAGTTCCTTCTGAAAAATTCTAGTACAGAATTTTCTCAAAATACTTTTTTAAAAGACCTACCCAATCTTGGGTATCTACCCAAAGAATGCAAAAACACTAATTCAAAGGGATATATACACTCACATGTTTCGTGCAGCACTACTACAATAGCTAAGTTACAAAAACCTAAGTGTCCAGCCATAGATAAGTGCATAAGAAGATGTGGCATACATACACAACGGAATACTACCCTATTACAAAAATAGATGAGATGTTGCCACATGCAAAATAATGGATGAAATTAGAGGAGGTTGTGATAGTATAAGATTAGAAGGAAAAGCAAAAATACCAGATGATTTCATATGTGCAAGATAAAAAACACAAAATGAAGGAACATAAAACTAAAGCAAGACAAGCCCAGAAATCTGAGTGCATATTTGAGGCTATCAGAGATTGAGGCTGGGGTTGGGAAGCAAAGTGGACTATAGTGAAAGTCTATGGGTGCTTTAGGTAAACCTGTGAGGTAACATACATCTAAAGAGGTGTGACCTCTGCCCCCAATCATATACAATGTTATAAACCAATATTACCTTACCGAAATAATATACAATTAAAAAAAAATACCTCCTTATTTGCCTACCTGGTAATATCTGTTTGATCGCTGCTTTCTGATCTGGAGCTATAATAGAATGAAAATAATGCTTGTTAATACCAAAAAAAAAAAAAAGTGCCTCCATGGACCATTTAATAATTTACATAAACCCTTATGGTGATTACCACTAATTGCCATTAATGAAAAATTTCAGATCACCAATTTTAGGTATGCAAATAAGTAGCGTGCATATTTACACACCTACAATGTCTATAAAATCTATAAATTTTAAATCTACAACCAAGTGTAGAACAAGAAAACGTTTAGTTTTCTCCTTATCACTTCCCGACACAGAGTATATGCTTGATTTTGAATGTTTGGCTTTGGCAAGCTAGTATTTTACCCAGGTCTGACATGTAAAAAACTAGACATATTGGGAGAGTAATATTCCTCTTCTACCCACACATAGATAAATGGTGAAAAATGATACAAAATACTAACCAAAATTTAGAATAAGACAGAAATATTTCTAATGATAATTTGAATTTTAAAAAAAAGGAAACTGAAAAAACAAAAGTTAAATAGGAACTACAGCTTCTGACACTGGAGGTGAGTAAGTTGTAAACATTAGTTTATAAAGAATTCTGATCTCTTCCTCTAAGTATGAAAACCATAAATTTATACCACCCATGACATGGGAATAGAAAAAAAAACTGTTACCACGGGGCTTTAAAATGCAGCAGGGAAATTGCTTCAGTCGTGTAGATGGGAAAGAATCCCTTTTCACAGACATAGGAAACTTAAGTGCTTAAAACAGCTTACAGAAAGAAATAGGAAAAAATGTTACATAGAGAAACAGAAACTTTAAGTTCCTATCAAGTATAGGTTGAAGATACTGACTCATGCTTCTTATGAAATCTAGATCTCCAAGTATCACAAATGTAAAAATTTATGAATTAGGGGGGATAAACAAAATAATCTCATGATGGAATCTACAAAGTAGGGTATAGAGATTTCCCATGAGCCCTAACTTTAACTTTGACAGTCTTACAATTATTTTTTAACAAGAGAGACACAAAGGGGATAGCTTCCAAGTTGGTGAGCTAGAATCTTGCCATATGCCACAGTGCCAGGCCCCAACCTGCATGAAGACAAGATGCTTTGTTCCAGATGTGGCCCTGTGTCTCTCTCCATGCTGAGTAAATAGCTAGAGTGACTTCATCAACATGGCAGCCAAGAAACACTAGGATCAAGTTCTTCCATAAAAACAACTGAGAGGGAGAAATAACAACGAGTTCCTGACGAGACCCAGATGCACTAGACAAACTTGGCCACCCCGTGATTCACCTAGACAGAGAAAAGTTAGGAGGACAGGGGAAAGGAAGAGAGAAAATCCTCAGAACCCTTCACCCCTCCTCCCACTCACAGAGCGGGCCCACTTTATCTAACAGAAGAGGAAAAAGCTTGGAGACCACCTGGAGAAGCATGAGACAGCTGAGAGGGCAGGGCAGGGACATAGACGGGCAAATGTCAGGTGTGAGCCCATTTGTGGTGACACTTCCCCCTCCTCCTGGAAACCAGCAGGTCATATTTACCAGCTGGAAAGACATCAGTGGGGTGCCTCATAGGGCTGGCCCCTACATTAGGGCCCTTCAGATACTCCAATCCCTCAAATAAAAGGACACCTCAGAAGCCACAGCACCCAACCAACCTCCTCAGGCCCGGAAAAAATGCTGATCATCCCACACCCAGCGGGAGTTCAGTCTGCCCATTTTGCACTCATTTTGTGATTTGACCCTTCCTCAACACACTATAAGGGCGAGAATGGGCTCTGGGAAGACTATCCTACTCAGCCCTACAGCGCCCCCGCAGTGGAGAAGACTAAAACGCCAATGACTAGCTAACTGGGAGCCATCCGAGTCCAGAGAAGCAATTCTCCCGGCAACTGTCTGTCTATTTATGGGCCAGTTAGTTGTCTGTTACTCCTTTCTGTCTGTCCTATTCCTGTTTTCTGATTCTTCCAATCTTTCTTCTTCCTCCCTTTTAACATTACCATCACTACTTTCTCTTTCTGGTTCCTCCTCTTTCCTCTTTCTTCTTCGCTCACCTTCATTCTTCACATCCCTAGATCATCCTCCTCTTTCCTCTTATTCCTTCTTTCACTCCTTATTCTCTTTCAATGCTGATATTTCCTGAGACATGCCTAAAGAGACCTAGCAGGTCAACAAAGCAAATCCCACCCAACTGCAGGCACCTCCCAGTGGACTTGGCCTTAGCATGGAATATCTGGAGGTGCAGTGTTCCACAGGAGACTCTTGACTACCATAGGCTGAGGTGTTGGATCCTACCCTACATAGTGGGAGCAGAAAAGAGGGGCGCCTGGAGAAAATCACAGCTCAGAACAACACCTATCATAATAGAAGTGTCTGGACATACACCCAGGTGGAAACACTTATAATCTGGGAAATGCAAATCAAAACCACAATGAGATACCACTTTATACCAGTGAAAATAGCACATATTAAAACCAAAACAAACAAAAAAGGAAACAAGAAATGTTGGTGAGGATGTGGAGAAAAAGGAACTCTCTTACAATGCTGGTGGGAATGCAAACTAGCCTAACCACTATGGAAAGTTGTGTGAAGTTTCCTCAAACTACTAAAAATGTAGCTATTTTATAACCCAGGATTCCACTTGCAAGATTCTACCCAAAGGACACAAAAAATGTTCAAAAGAATACCTGAACCCCTATGTTGACTGCAGCACTATTTGCAATAGGTAAAACCTGGAAACATTCCAAATGTCCCAAAATAGATGACTGGATCAAGAAAATGTGGTATAAACACACAAGGCAATACTACCCAGAAATGAAAAAAATAAGCTCATGCTATTTGCGGCAGGCAACATGGATGGAGCTGAAAGGGATTATGCTCTGTGAAATAAGCCAAAAGGAAAAAAACCAAAAGTCAGATGATTTCACTAATAGGAGAAATGTAGGGGAAACAAAAAAGGTATCTGGAAAAAAATAGTTATAATAAATTGAAAAACAAAATTTATAGGCAACTATAAATCAGAGACATTCTGCAGGGGAAAGGGAAGAGATTGGGATCAAAACTGAGGAGGGAAGAGAGCAAAGGATTATGTCAATGGTGCAAGGAGGTGAATTAGTGCAGGGAGGTGAATTAGTGGTAGGAATTTTACAGGGTCTACATCTAAGAGGGAAAAGTATTTATTCTACAAAAACGGAAGAATAATGTAAAATATATATTAAAATAAAAATTTTAAAATGCACTGAGATATAACATCCACAGCCACAGCAAGCTAAAGATTTCATACATCAAGAATTACAGGTAAAAGAAAAAGTTTAAATAAAATGTTTAAACTTTCCACAGAAATAAATAAAGAAACACAATCCAAAAACAAAAAAAGGACAGAATTGGAAGGAAAATAATAGCAATTTGTAATTATTTAGGGAAATCACCGTAACATTGGGTAATCAGAAATATACAAATAACCAGTTAAGAAATGGAGGATTCAAACACAGAAAACAGCACATTAGGTCAATTTAATTAGTTCTTCCTGAATCATAACTGTTACAGATTTTTAAACAGACTCTGTTGTATGCACTCCATCAATTCCTTTGTTTCTTTTCTCAAGCAATACATGACTTCAACCCAGTGGGTAGTTCTGAGGCATTATATACTTTTACTCTTTACTAGTCATACACATCTTATTTCTTATAGCATTGAAGATTTTCTTATTTCTTGAAGGAGAGTACTAACAAATATTTGTTAAGTGGATAAGCAACTAGTTTGCTAGAAACCAAATCAGTACATGTTATAGCCTGGTTTTTGGTGTATTATTGCACACATGTAGTTCCTGAAACAATGTCTAAAAATTTACTGTGAATTATTCATGCACTTTTCATTACCAACACGGATCTTAAAACATTTTCTGGTTTACTTACCTGCTGGCATATGTGTGAGTGCTGCTTTCTGTTCTGGATATTTTAAGAAATGGAAGAAATGTATCGTTAGTCTTAAGAAATTATGCCAACTGTGTGAAGTAAAATCAGGCTATTTTATAAGCAGTGTTATTTCTTTTGAAAGGCTAGTTACCAATAAAGAAAACAATAAAGGCCCTGAACTATGCAAATAAATAACATTCTTATATTCACATTTACCTTATTCATAGAAGGCAAATTTTAAATCCCACAATGAGGAGAGGATCAAGAAGGCACTTATCTTTCTCTTTCTTCTATTTATGAATACCTAATATAGTTTTGACAATGAATGCCTGATTCAATTTTCATATCCCAACATTTAAATTATTATTCATTGCTAAAAAAAAAATGCTACATTTTATAAATTAAAATCCGCACTGACTTCTAGACACCTTGGCAGACTGGAATCACAGGACAATTTCCCCTTTCCTTTCCTCACCTAGAGGGAAGTTGAAAAGGATCGCACAAACATCCTACACATAACGGAGTCAGAAAACAAGTAAGGACATGAGAGTTCAAATGGTAAACAGAAGCTAAATCTGAGCAACTTCAGGAGTATCCAAACCAGGAGCATCCATATATGTATTTTCAACACAGGCCATGCACAGTTCTCATGAAAATCATAGACACTGATAGGAAGAGCCTATGATTACAAACCTTAAGACCTGTAACAAAACAACAAATTCAAACAAGAAATAAGATAATATAAAAAGAAGAAACTTTAATATAACACTATGTAGGATCTCCATAAAGATCTTTACAAGAATGGAATTCATAAATCTGTAACAGAGACTGAAGAACTGGCTAAATGAGGGATCTGAGGAAATAATAAGAGATGTACAGATTACTACGAAAGTGCAATTGCCTTATACAAAAAATAAATCAACCAAACAGACAAGAAAAAAAGTATAAAGATAATTTAAAATAGCATTATCAAAAAGTTTATTCAAAAAACCAAACAAGTATATAAGTATATATACATATATAAACAAACAAACAAGTATATAAGTATACATACATATATAAGTACACATGTATATAAGTATATGTATGGAGCATCCATATATATTTTTTATTGCCATCCTCACTGGTTTCAACATTTATGAATGTAAATCATAGCACCAAGACTTTCCAGTTATCGAAAGCTATTTTTGCAGCAACAAAAATAAAACATATAATTGGACACTACAGACTACAGATTACTCATGACTTAAATAAGTATTCATTTCAGCAATTGCTACTTTTTGAACTGAATGCTATCTCAAAAGCTTTAAGTGTAAATGTGGATGAAATAATACATAAGGGAAAATTTTTTTTAATTTAAAAGCATATGATAAAATAAGGTAAACTGAAATTAATAATCAAGGCATTAGGCTCTGGAAAGCTAGTATTAAAGCAGAGCTAAGATAAAGCAGAAAGGAGAAAAATAGCAAAACTTAGGGATAACAATGCAAAAAAAAAAAAAAAAAACAGGTAACCAAAATAAGCTATATTGTCTGCACTACTGAGAAAACAAACTTCTAAGAAGACTGCTCATAAAAATAAAAATCACATTAAAAATTAGAAGATGGGCCCTCCCTGGTGGCACAGCAGGTTAAAGCACTAAGAAGCTAAAGCCACTTCCGCATGAGTTCGATCCCTGCCTGCCCTGGAGGTGACCACATGGTGTGGCAGACCTCTCCTGACCCACCCGCTGCTCCCCTCACAGTGTACTTCGTCGATCTGCCTGTTCTGCTCCCCGCTCTGTCTCTGGTGAATCCTATCACCCTGTGGCCTGTACTCCAGTTCTGTATGAATAAATAAATAAATCCTTAAAAAAAAAAAATTAGAATGAAAATTATATATAAGGAGTTATATATATATACATAAGATCATTTTAGATATGGCACATGGAAGTGGCCAAGTAGCACTTATAAGGTACAATTTTAAGTGCAACACTAGTTCTCAGCAGGAAGAGAAATAATAATACTAGACATGTAAATACAAAACAGTATTTCCAGTGCAAATGAGTGTTTGTCACTGTTTTCATTCTTTGTGCCCAAATTCTTTTTAATAAAAAATATTTTTCAATCTAAATTATATATTTTCCTTCTGAAGATTTTAAACAGAGAATATTTTTTAAATTTAAAATTATCCTCACATGAGGCAGCAAAGTAAATTGAAATACTTCCTTTGTGACAGGGCCTAGACATTCGATCACACTTTGAAGGCAATAGATATGGATATATTGCCCAGCAACGACTGGCAAAATTATTTAAACCACACTCTCAAATTTCTGCATTTTTAAAATTGGAATAATCACACTGTCTCACAAGATTACATGAGGTACCTGATCTAGTATTCAATATCCCTAAAAAAAATGTATTGTTGCTTGTGCTACTGCTTTTCACATGGTTAGATTCAAATAGCACTAAAGTTTTAACTTCAGAACACAAATTCATTTTACTCGCTACTTATGGATTCCTCTTCCTTGGTGAAGCGTTTTTTCAGACTATTCCATGAGACAGCTATTATGATTCCTATGGTGAGAACAGGTAAAGCCGTGTAAACAATTAGAATCCATGGGCTATTCCCCAAAGTTCTTTCCATGATTAAACCTAAAAATACAAATAGATGTAAAAAATCAGAGTAAAATAAGTAAAGCTACCTAACTTACATTCAATTTGCAGCAAATTAATTACAATATTCTTAAATTTATTGTTATTCAAGAAACATATAAAAATAAAAATAAATCATAATACTCCTATCACCATAACTGCTCATTCTAAAGAACAGAAATAAAATCTCAGCAACAACAGCAAAAATTCACTGTCAGGTGGGCCCAGAAATCTAACAATATATAATGTGGGTCATATAACTGCAAGATTAGCTGGCAAATCTGCATTTGTAAACTGCAAGGTACATTAGCACACAATTTCACCATACTTATGCCTATCCTGTTTTCCCCAAGTAGATTGCTGGCTCTCTGACATAAATAGTTTTTATATATGAAGCCATGTATATAAAATAGAGCCACAATAAAAATTAGGAAGTTTGATTCCTAACCCTAATTCTGCCACAGGTTAGCACTGAATGTGGCAAACTAAACATACTCTTTAAACAACATGAGGAGAGGGACTTTTATTGTACAACCTCAATGCCTTGAAAAACACCTTGCAGATATTAGTACAATAAGTACTTGTTAAGTCAATGAATAGATGACAAAACTGAAATTAGACAGAAGATACAAATAGAACATCGCTTCTGTCAAGTCTCTAGAAGCAATTTATGGATTTTTCTCATTTAACGATAAGCTCCTACAGAGTAAAAACATCTTCAATTTCTTTCCTTCTGTAATGGATACAACTTTAGACACAGTAAATGCTTTTTGTGTAGAGTTGAGATTAACAGGCCAGTCACAAAGGTGGAAAGGTTGAAAGGAAGTCAAAGGGAGAAAACCAACAGTAACAGTAAATGAAAATTAAAAAATACTCCCACTTTCAATTATATTTGAGAATTAATATTAGAAAAAGCAGCATGATTTAAAGTGAGTATTTGGTTTCTTCAGAGAAACCTATCTGCCATTTTGTTACAAATATCAGCATATTTCTAAGGAGCAAAATTCTGACTTTTAGTGAAGATACGTAATTTAAAAATTTTATTTACTGGGTATTTTAGTAAAGAGATTGCTACTTGCCATGTTTTCCAGGCAATTCAGAAGATGTTCTGCCATATATTGCACAATTGGGAGGTTTGTAGCCAGCAAAACAATGACATTGCTTTTTGGAATTGCACACCTAGGATTGTTTTAAAAATTTAAACAATCATTTTAAAAACATGTTTGAAAATGTTCCCACAATCAAAACAACTCTGTGTATTCATACTCCCAAAGTGGGAGCTCAGATGCTCACGAAGCCACCTGCTTAGACCTCATATGAACATTCTTATACAGATACAGACGATGCAGTCACACAACATAGATGGTAAAAGGGTAAATCTTTAAGTCAAGGTACAATCTCACCTTCACATAGACTACTTAATATATAAAAACATAAAACTCATAGTAATGAAGAAAAAACAAATAGTAGGTTCATAAAAATAAAGAGGGGAAACAACGCAAGAATGGAAATTAGTCAGTGATGAATAATGACTAAATGTGAACAACTAGGACTTTACTGACCACCACCTTAGACTTTATTATACTACACATTGGCTACACTAAGTAGTTTGTGTTTGTGTTTCAATTATTTCAGATGATAACATTGTTATAAATACATATATATATAGTTTTTTGGGGGGGTAATGCTGGTATATGATTTATAGAACATTGCATATGATTTATAGGTACAGGATCACACTCCTCAGGTGTAGGTTACCACAACACAACCAATACACTAAAAGTTCTACACCACAGTTTATTGTGCCCCTGTCCCCATTTTGAACTACCCACAATTCTACAGTCAAATTTCCAGAGTTCAATATTGGCCTGGGTTTACCAGACCACTGGTTTGTTTCTCTGTATTCCAAATATAAGTAACAATGTCTTGTAGTTTTTTCTCCTTCTGACTTACTTTGTTTAACAGTTCCATCCATGTTGTCAAAAAAGTCGTTTACCTTTTTTAAAGCTAAGTAGTATTCCCCTGGGTATATACACCACCTCTTCCACATCTACTCACCTGTATTTGGGAACTTAGGTTGTTCTGTAACATTAAAATAACATATGCTGCAATGAAGAAAGAAATGTGATATCCCTTCATAATAGTGTTTTGCATTCTTTAAGTAGAACATAGGAGTGGAATTTATTGTATCAATATTTCTAATATTTTCAGAAACCTCCATCCTGTTTCCCATAGGGCTAGAACAGTCTAAAGACCCACTAATAGTATAAGATGGTTCCTTTTTCCCCACATGTTCACCAATATTTGTTGTTTCTGGTCTTTTTGATATGGGTCATTTTCACAGGTGTGAGGCAGCATCTCATTGTGGTTTTGATTTTCATTTCTCTGATGATGAGAATAATGAGCATTTTTTTTCAAATGCCTGTAGATCATCTGTCTACTTCCAAGAGCTCTTCTGCCTGTTTTTTGATATGTTAGTTTTTATGTTGAGTTTTATTACTTCATTCTAGGTCATGGATATCAGACTCTTGTCAGATAATGGTGTACAAATATTTTCTCATTCAGTAGGATGTCTTTTTGCTTTTGTGACAGTATCCTTTGCTGTAGAGAAGCTTTTTAATTTGATGTAGTTCCAGATGTTTATATTTTCTTTCAGTTTTCTTGCTGTTGAAGATGAATCCACAAAGATATCATAAAATTCCACAAAGAATCCTCCATTGTAGAGTTTTACTGTTTTCTTCTATGTATTATAGCATGATTTCGCCTCTTACATTTAAGTCCTTTATTCAATTTGAGGTTTTTTTTATATAGTGCATGGCATATTGTTTCATTCTTTTACATGTGCCTGTCCTTTTTCCCCTGACACAGTTTATTGAAGAGGCTTTCTTTCACCAGCAGTGTATTCAGGAGATGCACCTGTTCTGTCTCTGATAAATCCTCTCACTTCCCGCACCTTTGACCTACCCCAGTTCCTGTATGCATAAATAGATAAAAATAAATCTTTTTTTAAATAAATATCTAAATCTTTTTAAAAAATAATAATTGCTCTAGCTAGGACTTCAAAAGCCATGCTGGTAGTAATGAGAGTAGACAACATTTTCTTGTACCAGATCTTAATGCAAAAGCTTCGTTTTCACCATTGAGAATGATGTTAGCTGTTGGTCATATATGATCTTAATTATCATATTTTATGTTCTATCAATCCACATTTTTTCCATCTATCAAATATTCCTGACATCTACTGATATGATCACATGATTTTTATCTTCCTTTTTATTGCTGTGCTGAGTTATACTGGTTTTCTGTAGTTGAAACATCCTGGTGTCAATCATTCTGGTGTCAATGTAACCACTGATCATGGTGTATGACCCTTTTAATTCATTCTACAATTCAGCTTGTCAAGATTTTTTTGAATATTTTTGGTTTTATATTCACCAAAGAAATTGGTCTGTAGTTTTTGTGGGGGGGGGGGGAGACTGTCTTCGGCTTTACTAAGGGTAATAATGGTCTTATAAAATCTATTTAGAAGTGTTTCTGCTCACTACATTTTTGGGAGAGTTTGAAATAGATATTCTTTCACAGCTTTCTCAAGTTCATCTTGAAAGCCTGGTAGAACTCATTAGAGAAATGATCTGATCCTGGATTATATTTTTGGGGAGACTTTTGATTACTGCTTCAATTCCCTTATATTTTACATTTCTTCCTGATTTAGTCTTATAAAGTTGTATATTCTAAGAACTTGTCTATTTCTTCTAGATTCTCAACAAACTGTCAGAGATATTCATAGCAATCTTTTGTGGATCCTTTGTATTTATTGCTACAATGTCTACTGTAAATTCTCTCATTTCTGACTATGTTTGTATTTTCTCTCTTCTTTTCTTTGTGACTCTATCTACAGGTTTGATTTTTTTCAAAGAACCAGCTTGCGTTTGTTCTTTTAATTTCTATGTCACTTATTTCAATTTTCTTCCTTCTACTCACTTTGGATGTTTTGTTCTTCTTTTTCTAGTTCCCTGAGATGAGCGACTCAGTTATTTATTTGGGCATTTTCTTTTTTCCCTTGATGCAGGACTATATTACTATATACCTTCCACTTAGTACTAGTTTTGCTATTGTCTGTTAAGATCTGGAAGACTGTGTCTTCATTATTGTTTGTCTCAAGGTATTTTTAATTTTCTTATGTTGCTTTAGTTCAGTCAGAAAATTCTCACTGCTTTGGTTTTTCTTTTCTTTTCAAGATTTATTTATTTATATATATACAGAGCTGAAGTACAGGCCAGAGGTGGGATGGGTGGGGTGAGGGGATTCACCAGAAACAGAGTGGGGAGCAGAACAGACAGATGGATTGAAATACACTGCTGAGGGGAACAGCGGGAGGCTGGGGACATGTCTGTTGTATGTGGGTCACCTCCTGGCAGGGGATCAAACTCATCCTGCAGTGGTGGTGACAGCATCATAGTGCTGCACTTTAACCCACTGTGCCACCAGGGTTTGGTTTTCTTCTTTTTTTTTTTTTTTAAGATTTATTTATTCATACAGAACTGGGGTACAGGCCAGAGATGTGGAGGGTGAGAAGATTCACCAGGGACAGAGTGGGGAGCAGAACAGGCAGATCGACGAAGTACACTGCTGAGGGGAGCAGCAGGCGGGTCAGGAGAGGTCTGCTGCGCCATGTGGATCTCCTTCAGGGCAGGAGGGGATCGAACTCATGCGGAAGTGGCTTTAGCTTCTTAGTGCTGTGCTTTAACCCGCTGCGCCACCAGGGAGGGCCCGGGTTTGGTTTTCTTAATTCCATTTTCTTTCTTCTTCCATTTGGATTTTTTGTGATATACCATCTCAAGGCCATTGATTTGTTATTTCACTTGATTTATTCTGCCTCCATAGCTTTCTCCAGAGCGTTTGTGCCTCCCATATCTCCATTATCTTCTTATACACATATTAAATTTCGATCTTCCTCTCATTAATTTTATTTCTTAAGATATTCATTTTTCTGTGTTTCTTGTATATACTCTAATCTGTTTTTCTGTGTTTTCTTCCATTGTTCTTTATGATTGCAAATTCAAACTCATCTGGTAGGAAGAAAAAAATCTTCCACATCTTTGAGGTTGGATTCTGGTGATTTATTCTGTCTCTACTGAAATATTCCCTGAGGATTCAGATGTCATGTATTATTCTTTGTTTGTTTGGTTTTTATTTCTTTGAGTCCATCTCCACATGTTATAATTTTCTAGGTTGCTATCTATTCAAATATCATAAGGGTACAGAACTTCCACTTTTCCAGAATATGGCACTACATGTAGGAAGAAATTATCTGCTAAGAGAGTACATGAGCCCAGTGACTGATGAACATGGTGTGCAAGGGCGGCTTGTGTTTGTGGAACCACCAGCAGCCATTTCTCTTGTGTTTTCAGAACCTGTGTGTCTACAGGCTTTCAGCAACACTTCACAGTATCAGCTCAAGACTGAGAGCTTGGGGAAAGGTAATGCTCTTCTGTGTACTATCTTCTCTAGGGACCTCCAGCCAATTATCCTCACAGTTACTGATGCACCTCCCACTAATATTCCTACTCTCCCCAGGGCTGCTGGCCAAACTTGGGGGTACAGTTCCAAGATTTATATAGCAGGCTCCCATCAAGGTCAGTCTCTTCGTAGCTCTCTCAACACACTTTTTGTTATACAGAGTTGAATTTCATCAATATCCTCTCTGCTGTGGTCAATACTGGCCTCCAATGTCCAGGGGTTGTCTACATTTGCCCAAAGTCACAGATCCTCTCAGTCCAGTGCCCCTAGATTATCCTCCTAGGATTGAAGCAAGGAACCTCCTCTGATGCTATTGTTCCCCAATTAGACTATACTCAGTTTATTTTTTTAGTGTTTTTATCATATGATACAATAATCCACTCCTAGATCTCTAACAAAGGAATGCTATAAAAATAATGTGAAATGATATATTCACTCCTATGTTCACTGCAGCATAATTTACACTAGCCAATTTATTAAACCACTCAGATGAGTGCACTATGAAAGCTACTCAGCTATTAAAAAAGATAAACTCTTGGGCCCTCCCTGGTGGCACAGCAGGTTAAAGCACAGCACAAAGAAGCTTAAGCCTGTTCCTCATGAGTTCGATCCCCGCCTGCCCTGAAGGAGATCCACATGGCGCAGCAGACCTCTCCTGACCCGCCTGCTGCTCCCCTCAGCAGTGTACTTCGTCGATCTGCCTGTTCTGCTCCCCCCTCTGTCTCTGGTGAATCCTCTCACCCTCCACATCTCTGGCCTGT